GATGGGATGGGATGGGATGGGATGGGATGGGATGGGATGGGATGGGATGGGATGGGATGGGAAGGACCAGGATCTTGGGGTGCCTGGGGAAGACTCTCCTCTGCTTGGTTGGTGGAAGACTGGGAGTCATTGTGTGAATTGACCCGAGCATAACTGAGCTCAGGCCCTGGCCTTGTTCTGGCTAGTTGGAGGAGACTTCCAGAGTGGTCACTGGCCACTTGGGGTCCCCTTCCAGGAATGTACAGATGGCTATGAGTGGGACGCAGACAGCCAGCACTGCCGGGGTGAGTATGCCTGGGATACTAGCCATTTTCAGGAACTGGGAAGGCAACTATTGTTTCCCAGGGATAACCTGGCTCCTAGACCAGCTGCAGGAACCTAATGGCCTTTTCACTGTCCAGCTTGGCTGAGCCAAAGCCAGCCACTCAATTAGGAGTCCTACCCCTTCAAGAAGTGCAATGAACTCTGCCTCTATTTGCAGTAGACAGGAGAGCACCTGGTGACTGCCCAGAGAAACGGAGATCTGCACACCTTCCGCCAACTGCCCTCTACTCTCCTAGCCCAGCTCTTTATCCCAGTGCAACCTGGGAGAGCAGTACACACTCTGTGGGTTTGGAGGCCTGCAAATTACTCTGGGGCAGAGGTAGAGGCAGGGTTTTGAGGAGGAATGGAAACTCACTTGGAGGCAGGAGAATAGGGACAACGGCGAAAATAGGTGGCCCTATCCCCAGTCCTGCAAATCACTGGGAGGGGTTCTGGGTCATCAGCCTTAATTTGCTGAGCAGAGAGAAAACCTTGCTCTGTTGCTCAGCTTAGAGAAGGCCAAGCTGGGATTCTGCCTCCCACTACCTCCAGGGCCAGCCCAGGTGACTGGCTGTGCCCAGCAGGCCCCTTTCTGCAGATGTCAACGAGTGCCTGACCATCCCCGAGGCCTGCAAGGGCGAAATGAAATGCATCAACCACTATGGGGGCTATTTGTGTCTGCCTCGATCTGCGGCTGTCATTAATGATCTACATGGCGAAGGCCCTCCACCACCAGTGCCCCCTGCTCAACACCCCAATCCTTGCCCACCAGGCTATGAACCTGATGAACAGGAGAGCTGTGTGGGTAAGTGGGAGCCATGCTGGCTGGCACCAATGCTTCCAGACCTCTTACATGTCTTTTTAAAATTAATTTTGTATTTAGTGTATAAAGTAAAAAGAAAAGTAAAAACCAAAAGAAAACAAAGGGGGGCGCTGGAGAGATGGCTTAGAGGTAAAGAGCACTGGCTGCTCTTCCAGAGGACCTGGGTTCAATTCCCAGCAACCACATGGTGGCTCACAACTGTCTGTAATTCTAATTCAGGGGACCTGGTACCCATGGCAAAACACCAATGCACATAAAATAAAAAAGTAAATTTAAAAATAAATAAAAGAAGCAAAGTGAAAGTTTTTAAAATCATGGTATCATTCTCCTGACACACTTCATATTTGTTCTCTCTCATTGTCCCTCCCTAGCACCTTGTTCTTCGAGATAGGATTTCTCTGTGTAGCCCTGGCTGTCCTGGAACTCACTCTGTAGTCCAGGTTGGCCTAGAACTTAGAGATCTGCCTGCCTCTGACTCCCTAGTGCTGAGTGCTGGGACTAAAGGTGTGTGCCACCACTGCAGGACTGTGTACTTTGTTTTTTGAGACAGAGTCTCTGGGTTTGATCCCCAGCACACACTTGTAATCCCACCACCAGGGAGGTAGAGAAAAGAAGATTGGAAGTTAAAGGTTACCTCAGTTGCATAAGGAGTTTGAGGCCACCCTGAGCTACATGAGAGCCTATCTCAAAAGCAGTAACTAACATAAATAAAGTAATTTTCCACACTAAATACCGCAGACCTCATGTTCCTTCCTTGCTGAGAGAAGCCTCTGGCTCCTCAGAGAAACATCTGAACCCTCACCTGCAGCAGGCCTGGTGCATGGTCTGCTGGCCCAGGAAGTCCCCAGCAGCTCCCTCACTTCCTGTGCAGACATGCTAGAGCTCTGCTCCCAGCCTCTGCCAGCTCTTTATCAGGTCTCGGCCTTGGAAACCGCTGGCTTTGGAGGAGGGAAGATCCTGGTCTAGAGTCAGCTGAGGGTGTGAATGGACAACGCCTCATTTATTTTTAAGCCAGTTCTAGCTGGCTTGGAACTCTATAGCTCTGGCTGGCTTGGAACTCAGAGGGATCCTCCTGCTTCTGCCTCCTGGGTGTTAGAATTAAAAGTGTGTGCCAGCAGACCTGACAAGGCCTTGTTTTATATGCTCAGCTAATGGGTGCTTTTCCTGGTGGACTGTTTTCTTGTGCTGTTGGGAGGACCTATATCATATCTTCATATTTTGGTGCCAGCTACCCATGTGCCCATGTGAATGAAGTCTGGTGTGAGCCACCTCCTTCCTGATGTGCTGACATGGTCAGTAACACGTGGGACTCTGGGTAAGGGCTGCATGGTGTCTCCCACAGATGTGGACGAGAAGTTGATGTGCTGACATGGTCAGTAACATGTGGGACTCTGGGTAAGGGCTGCATGGTGTCTCCCACAGATGTGGACGAGTGCGCCCAGGCTTTGCATGACTGTCGCCCTAGCCAAGACTGTCATAACCTGCCTGGTTCCTACCAATGCACCTGCCCTGATGGTTACCGAAAAATTGGGCCCGAATGCGTGGGTGAGTTCAGAGAGTGGCTTTCCTAGTTCTTGCTTTGTGACTTTGGTCTGACCTTATCCTTATCCTAGTCCTCTGCTGCTGGTACCCTCCTGTCATTAGACACAGAAGACTATATGTCAGTGGCTCAACTCAGGTCCCTGAAAAAGACAGGAGTAAGCATGCGTGCTGAGGCCTTTGTCTCGGCCTGCTCAGGCCCCACCTGACTTGTGTCCTGCTTACCCCTCCCCTGCCTCCATTGCAGACATAGACGAGTGTCGCTACCGATATTGCCAGCATCGATGTGTGAACCTGCCAGGCTCTTTTCGCTGCCAGTGTGAGCCAGGATTCCAGCTGGGTCCTAACAACCGTTCTTGTGTGGGTGAGACTCTGGGGTCCTAGGTAGAGATGTATGGGATAGGGGCAGGATCTCCTCACTAAGCCCATGTAGAGTGGGACTCTGGGCAGTGCCTCTGCTTTCACCACTCCTGTTTTCTCTGGCATCCTCAGATGTGAATGAGTGTGACATGGGAGCCCCATGTGAGCAACGCTGCTTCAACTCCTATGGGACCTTCTTGTGTCGTTGTAACCAAGGCTATGAACTGCACCGGGATGGCTTCTCCTGCAGTGGTGAGAGTCCACTTGTGCTGCTGGATAGTGCATTGGTCCTCCCAGGACCAACTCCAGTCACACAGTCGTTTGTTTGAGGCTTCCATGTCTCATTCTCTGTATCCTGAGCTGGTCGCTGAGGGTGGGGATGCTATGGGAGGCCCTACTGAAGCTTGCTGGAGAGACAGGAAAGGATGTAGGTGCCAGTCTTCCTGGAAGTTGAGTTGACTTGCACTGGAATCCTGCACTAGGACAAGTCTCTCTTCTTTCTGGGCACATTTCTATTGTAAATAGGTTGTTTGGATATGGAGAGGGACCATGATAAAAGGCTTCATCAAGTCTCAGGCAGCAAAAGTGGGGAGCACCACTTGTTTATAACTTACATTCTCATTTAGTCTGGTCAATGGTGATTTGCTTTTGCAAACAGGACACTAATTCCTCCAGGTATGTTGGCAGAATTGTAAAAAAGTAAGCAAAAAGCCCAGAGAAAATGGTACCTTTCATCTTTCCACTTAGAGATGAAGTGACTTGTCAAAGTCCAGACAGAAAGGATGAGATGGGACCAGGGCTTGATCCCAGGCTTCTCGCCATGTTGCCCAGCGTGCCCCCCATTTATTTTATGCTATTCTGTGAAATACATCATTGGTGTTCAGCTGCCTGAAAGGAATGGATGCAAAGAGGCAGTGCACTGCATGTGGGGTGTACACTCAGCAGAAGTCTGGGGATTCTAAGTGTAGATCACAGGACTTGGAAAAACAGAAGTTAGGCCCTAGGACTCCTCTAGTCCAACCCGCTCATTCGACCAGCATGGAAATGGACCTTTCCTAAAATCAGTTAGTAGGACTTATGCCCAAGCCTCTAGATTCCTGGTGCCTTTTTGTTTGTTTGTTTTTCGAGACAGGGTTTCTCTGTACAACAGCTCTAGCTGTCCTGGAACTCACTCTATAGACCAGGCCGGCCTCAAACTCAGAGATCCACCTGCCTCTGCCTCCCAAATGCTGAACTAAAGGTGTGTGCCACTACTGCCCAGCCTCCTGGTGCCTTTTGATACAGAGTCTATGTAACCCTGGCTGTCCTGAAGCTCTCTATGTTGACCAGCCTAGCCTACAGAGTCTGCTGAGTAATGCTGGGATTAAAGGCACGGGCCGCCATGTTGGGCTGGTGTGTTAAGTATTCTTAATGTTCTGGGGAAGAGAGGGCCCCTCTAAGCTGGAAGGTCTGTTCTTGTTTTAAGACAGAATGTCAGTCTGTAGCTCTGGCTGGCCTGCTGTCTCTCATGTAGACCAGGCTGGCCTCAGACAGATTTGATTGCCTCTGCCTCCCAAGTGTTGTGATCAAACACCCATTTGTTTTTTGAGGCAGGGTCTTGTTATGTAGCCCTGGCTGGCCTTGAACTTGCTATATAATCCTGGCTGGACTCCCTGTGTGGACAAGCTGGCCTTGAACTTGGTATAATCCTCCTGCCTTTACCTCCCAAGTGCTGGTATTATAGACCTACAGCAACATGCCAAGCTTCTATTCTTTTTCTTTTCTTTTTTTCTCTTCCTTTCTGTGCTGGGATGGAACCTAGAGCCTCCAGCGTGTTAGGCAAGTACTCTACCTCTGAGTTGTATCCCCAGCCCCTCTAACCTCCTTTGACATGTCAGTCCCCCTTCTGAGCATTACTGGGTCTTCCTCATCCCTTCTCTCTTCCCACATCCAGCTTTATGGGGGGGGGCTCTCTCAGTAAATGCCCATGGGACTCAGTGGTGAGGACTACCTTTGGCCCAGGGTCCTCATCCTCACCCTCCCTCAGATATCGATGAGTGCAGCTACTCCAGTTACCTCTGCCAGTATCGCTGTGTCAATGAGCCGGGCCGCTTCTCCTGTCACTGCCCACAAGGCTACCAGCTGCTGGCCACAAGGCTCTGCCAAGGTACAGGTGCTTCTGGTGGGTGGGCAGGGTTTTAGAGTCTGGTAGCTTACTGTCAGTCCCAGAGTCCAACCTCACCTTCCTTGGTACAGACATTGACGAGTGTGAAACAGGTGCACACCAGTGTTCTGAGGCCCAAACCTGTGTGAACTTCCATGGGGGCTACCGCTGTGTGGACACCAACCGTTGCGTGGAGCCCTATGTCCAAGTGTCGGACAAGTGAGTCAACCAGATGGCAGTTTCCTGTGGTAACTACAATTCCCAGAGGTCTGTGGGGGCTAACTGGTTTAATCGGGCTGGTGAGTACCCATGAAGTGTCATGGGAGTTATAGTCTTATATGCTTGGGTTCCTCTTTAGGAGGTGGGTATATGGGAAATGGGCCCTCATTGGGGTCCTTCTTGGGGTCTCTAGCCGCTGCTTCTGCCCTGTCTCGAACCCCCTGTGTCGAGAGCAACCTTCATCCATTGTGCACCGCTACATGAGCATCACCTCAGAGCGAAGTGTGCCTGCAGACGTGTTTCAGATCCAGGCAACCTCCGTCTACCCTGGTGCCTACAATGCCTTTCAGATCCGTGCTGGAAACACGCAGGGGGACTTCTACATTAGGGTAAGGTGCTTCTTGGCTCACACCCAGTTGGCTTGAATAATCTAAAACAGTATGCCTGAAGCCATTTAAGTGAGAACTGCCTGCCTCTTCTCTCAAAGCCCTGTCCTAGGAAGCTGGGCTCATGTTTGAAGTCAGAGATTTCTACATTCCCAATACACGTGTCCCAGGCAATTCTAACCAGGCAGTTGGTTAATGGGGTTTGAGTCCCAGTATTGGTTTCTCTTATCTGGCTTTGATATCCTTATTCATAAAACAAGAAATATGGTTCCTGCAGGGCTGGAATTAGAGACTCCAGTTTCACAAGCAAGTGGAAGAAAGCATTTATGCTGGTGCAATGTTAAGAACCTGGAATCCATGGTCTTTATGCTGTCTTCAGCATTGAGGTGTTGAGCATGAGAACTTATTTCTCCTTTCAGATTGCTTTGGCACAGCTCCATGGCAGAACATGTGCTTATTATTCAGGCCCTTGGTTCCTTCCCCAGCACCAAAACAATGAGACAGACAGACAGACAGACAGACAGACAGACATACTTTGAAAAGGGGACGTGTGCCAGCCTGGGTCACCAAAGGCCTATCACTTCCACCACTTGAGTCATCATGTGGTCATGGTGGAGGGAAATCAAGGTGGATAGGGTCAGGGGAGAACCAGGGCAGGGACATGGATACTGGAGGGGAAGAGAAAAGTCAGAGCTGGTTAAGAATGTGAGCAGCAGCCAGGTCACTCTTTCCCAGGTTCACAGCCATAGGGCAGGGGGGTGATGCTGGAGTAGGGTCCTGGCTCATAGGCTAACACAATCTCTATGTTCTGCAGCAAATCAACAATGTCAGTGCCATGCTGGTCCTTGCCAGGCCAGTGACAGGACCCCGGGAGTATGTGCTGGACCTGGAGATGGTCACCATGAACTCTCTTATGAGCTATCGGGCCAGCTCTGTACTGAGACTCACCGTCTTTGTGGGAGCCTACACCTTCTGAAGGAGACCCTCAGGGAAGGGCTGGGTGGGGCCCCCCTCTTTCTCCCTCTCATAGCTTAAGGAGCCTGGGGTTGAGGGGTGACTGTTCTGCTTAAAGAGACAATGATGTGAAGGACAATAAAGGGAGAAAGGAGTCCTAGTGGCTGAGGTGGGTGAGTGACCTCAGCCTGGGAAGGGGCTGGGTTTGTGAGAGAAGCAGGCAGATTTCACCCAAAGGGTCCTGTCTGCATTTGGGCTGAGAAGGTTCCAGAGATAAGAGTCATCCTTCAGAATCAGCCTTAGCAGGGAGTTCTAAGGAGTGTACACTTCAGGCCGTAACTCAGAGCTTGGCTGATGACAGGCCCCAGAAACCATGTTCAAGTCAGTGCCAGGTCTGGGACTCCACTCCAAACTATGCATTTGGACAAGCCCTACTGTTTTCCAATCGCCAAAATGAGGTGACTGGACTGAGAACATTTTTCTATCCCAAGTTGTGGTGCCTCTGTCAAAGAAATTTTCTTGATCAGGGGCCACTTAGTTACACTCAAAGATACAGTGATCCATTGACTCCATCTCCTTAACCAGGAATGCCCAACCCCTAAGGAGCATTATCTATCTATCTATCTATCTATCTATCTATCTATCTATCTATCTATCATCTATCTATGTGTAGGGTCTGGCCTAACACAAGTTAAGTGCTTATTATAACTACACAATGTTTAGCCAGGAGCGTGCCTTAAAAAGAACCATATGGGCCAGGTATAGTGGTCCACACCTTTAATTCCAGGACTTGGAAGGTGGACTTAGGAAGATTGGGAATTCCAGGAGAGCCTGGGGACATAGCATGTTCTAGGCCAAGCTGGGTTTTAGGAGGGGATGGGAGTGGGAGGAAACACTGTCCAAGGCTGCAGATCATTGCTGTATGGAAGAGGAATTGCCTAGCATGCATGAGGCTGTGGGTTTCACTGCCAATATTACAAAACAAAACCACTGGCTTACAAGGTGTAGTCTCCCAGTACCTACATATTTCATAAGGACCTTGGCACTGCTTCCTTAACTCCTAAGACCACAAACATTTAGCTTGTATTATAGCCCAAAGGATCCCAGTTCAAAGGCTGGCTAGCCTTGGCAGAGGTGAAGATGGGTACTTGGGTGTGTCTCCAGGTATAGGTCAGGTCAGTGGACTGTGGCTGCAGTAGAGCTGGTACAGGGTCCTGCTCAGAGCAGGTCCCAGATTTCTGTAAGAAGACAAATCAGAAGGTTGGCCTGGTGCCTTAGGCCACCCAGTCTCCTCTCCAGATTGTGTCTTACCTCTGTAGACGCCCACACTTGATAGAGCTCAGCAGCATCTCCTGCTCTTTAGGGGTGGCACAGGCATCATAGGCAGCCAGGAGACTGGAGGGAGGGGGCATACAATGGCTGCTTATCTGGGCCAGCATCATGAGAGCTAAAGCAGGAGGGGTTCAGTCTAGAGTGAAGGAGTCTAGACACTGTACATTCCCTGATCCTGGATAGAGGCCCTCCTCCATCCTGCTTGCCCTCCCTTCCTGGGAAACACTGGGACAGCCTTCCAAGGTTCCCACACAGCCATGCTCTCTCCAGGAGCACGGGTTAAGTGGAACTCGACACAGGAAAGGCAGAGGCACTAAGCAGCTGTCTGGGATGTACCTGGCAGGTGTGCTGTACCGATCCACCAGGGCTGCTGCCTTCTCCCCACTCAGTCCATGAACCTGCATCAGCTGCCGGGCGAATACTTCCCGTACAGACTGGGCCTGGGGTTGGGATGGGCCTGTATTAGAGGTGACCTGGGACCAGGCCACCTAAGCAGAGGCAAGGCCAGGGTGGTACCTTGTTCTTGACAGCTTCTGCATTGAAGTCACTGAAGGTGAGGAGTGAGCAGAGAGGGTTTGTAGAAGGCCTTGCTCCTGATTCAGCATCCCCTGGGGTTTTCCAGGGGCGGCTGCGTAGGGTATGGCCCTGACAGAAGAGGGGACTGAGGCTAGGGTAGGCTCTAAGGGTTAACCCCCAGCTATTCCTTTCCCAGGTCTCAGTGGGAAACCTGAGAAACTAGATCTCACCCACCCTTCCTTGGGCAGCAAACACCCAGGTGAGGGCCCAGTGCTGGTTGGAGGCATCTGCTCACCTGATATAGTCTTTCAAGGCCCTTTGTCAAAAGGGCCAGGTAGCCAGCTGACTCTTTAATATCCATGGTACGCTTCACAAAGAAACCATCAATGACCTGGAAAAGAGGACCCAAGGGAGGTGGCTCCTGGCTTAATCCATAAGACTACAAATCTGTCAGCCTGGTCCTGCCCTCTTCAGCTCACCTGGGTGTTTGTGATAGCCTGCAGCAATGTACTCTCAGGAAGGCTGAGGTGGTGGACAGACCCATGTTCCTCCACCAAGTATATCCGGTGCCCCAGGCCACAGCGCTTCAGGCGGAACTGGGAAGGCAGGCAGAAACGGTGGGTCAGGCCCAAATGCCTACATGTCTGCGCCAGCCATCATATCATATTGACATTGCAAGGAGATGGGTTTGGAGAGATGACTCAGCAATTAAGAACACTGACTGCTCTTCTGGAGGACCTGGGTTCAATTCCCAGCAACCACATGGCAGCTCACAACTGTTTGTAACTCTAAGATCTGACACCCTAACACACACATACATGCTGACAAAACACGCACAATCACACACACACACACACACACACACACACACACGATATTGCAAGGAGACCCTGCCTTGCCTGTCATTGAGGAGCCTCCACAGAGCCTCTTGCTATGACTCTGTAGGAAATCCCTGAACTTCTGGACATTACACATTCTCCAAGCTTCCCTTGGCCAGTTACTGGCCTCTGTGACCCTAGGGTGAGCCCCACTGCTGAGACTTGGGCATAGCTTCTGCATTTCTAATACTCTTGTTTATCTGAGATCTCTAGGGTTAGGTACCCAAGGGGCCTTTACGTCTCTCAGGCCAGCCTAGATAGCCTTGGGTTCCAACTTGTGCACCTACATGGCTTATAAGGGGCTCAAAGTGGGTGTGGCTGGAGGCCTCAGATGCCTGTTTTGAGACCGCCCAGCAACACTGTCTAACTGGAGTAAGGAGTGCTCAGACTATGACACCTTCTGCTCCCGAAATCGGCCGTCAATGATGCTGCTGCACAGGTCATCTAGCCGCTTGCGTTCCACAATGTGGTCCAAGACTAACTCCCCAGGTCTTGCTGTCAAGAAGTAAAAAAGTCTTTACTGTCTTCCCCTGACCCACCCAGGCCAGCCTCCCATGCCTGCCCATGACCCTTTACCTGGGTCTCTGGGCCTGGTCTCCTGCACTACCCACACGAAGTCACCAACATGCAGCTTTCGTACTGTGTGGGGCACATGCAGCCGCTGTAACTCTCGGAGCATTTCTGGCCTGTGTCCCGACCTAATATATCAAGAAAGAAGGCCAAGGTCAGGGTAAGCCAGTACTCACCACCCTCCAGCATCTTCTAGTTGTTTTCAAGGCTGCCCCCACATCACTCACCCTCTGGTTTCTCCAGTGTCCACACACAACAGCACTCTGTACTCGCCAGGCCTCAGCTCCAGTGGTGGCTGCTGGACAACACCTTCACTGGTGCCACTGTGAAGGAGTGGGGGCTGTGCATAAGGCTAGAACTCTCAGTACCAGGGCAGGCCCCCAGAATTCACAGCAGCAACTGTGGTTCAACAGTTACAGGTCCCTGAGATATGGCTGCCCCTATTTCTCCTCCCTTCTTACGGTTCTGACAAGGTGGCTTCTGGGGCTGCTGACTCCTCTCCATGGGGCTCCTCTGGCCTAATGGCAATGTTCAGTGTGCTCAGGCCTTCTGACTTGGCCAGGTTTTGGGCCAGCTCTAGGCCCTCTGGTGTCAGTGCATACCTGGGAGGTGGAAGATACAATTTTACTTCTTTATACCTGGCAAGCTCTGCTGCCCTAAGTTAGGTGAGCTTTACCCTCCTTGGTGTAAGTTAATGGCTCCCCACCTCCTCTGTCTCCCTGTCCCTCAGGGCCTCCCTAACGCTGTCTCAGCTTTGCAATGCATGTCTCACAACTCCTTCTCCCTCTTTTTATGCAGCGCCATACTTTCCTCCCTAGAATATTCTGGCATCTCTAATCAGCCAAATTTTAAGACACACCAAATGTTTGTGCAGTTCTCTGCACCTAATAACCAACTTTTCCTCTTTCCTCTCAGTGGCTTGTACTTTCCAGGTCCTCCACCCTCAGGCTTTTAGTGGGAAGGCTGGCCTTCCCAACCTTGGCAGCACCAGGTCTGAGACTTGATGCATCATTATAGAGCCTAAGAATGTCCTAACTCCTGCATGTGCCCATCCCTGTCTCTTGTGCCCCTTGCAGCCTGCCCACACCTGGATGGCCGATGTGTTCTGAGGACTAGGTTTCTCTGGAGTAGACCTCGGAGGGCAGGCCAGGGTCTGGAACTTCCAGGAGCTATCTGTGAAAATGAAAGGAGACCCTCAGAGAGGCCCCAGTACTCCCAAGCCTAAACTTCCTGTGCTCCTAGCCATATGCCATTATTGGATCAGGTTTCATAGCAAGGCTGCCTGCCATGAAGGAAGACTACAGTGGGCTCTACCAGCCTGCTCACAGCTGGATGCTCACCCGGGGGGCCTTCTGGGCACATTTCTGCAGCAGCTCCTCCTTGGTTAGGAAGCTGTGGCCATCAGGGTTCTTCTGAAAGCATGGTAGAAATGAGGGTAGGTTCAAGGCCAGAGCGGCTGGTACGAACACTGCCCAGGTCCTTCTGTGAGTCTTCCTCACCCCACACAACTCATATTTGGCGACACTTACCAGGTGCTCCCTGTAGAGTTGCAGCAGGACCTCACGGGCACCTGAGTTCTGTGCTGGCCAATAGCCACCAGCACTTCCTGCTTGAGGCTGGGTGGGAACCTGAGAGAGACAGCAGGGCTCTGAATTCAAATGCCTGTCAGTGTCAGCTGAGGTTTCAGTAGGCTACATAGGCCCGGAGAGGGAGGTGCTGTAAACCCCTGTAAATATGGAACATGATGACAGCCAGAGAAGGAGCAAAGACTGGGGGTATGTGCCAGGCCAGCTGCAGCTACCACTACAGCAGAACAAGAGCACTGTAGCAGTCCTGCAACTTTCTCGATTGGGTCTCTTAGCACCGTCCTTTGGAGCTCCATCTGCTCCTGGCTCATAACCCTACTCCTACTTAGGAATTAAGATAGTGCCTCTTAAAGAGGGGAAGAGACTATCCTAGGCCAGTCTATGTCAGTAAAAGCTGGACATGGGCCTCAAACCAACAAGTCCAACTCTCAACCCTCCCATTTAGCTTCCTA